CCTCTGTCCTCACCTCCGAGTTCAGAAAGGATGCCATTTCATCGGGCCCTAGACCCCAAGGAGAGCAGAGCAGGGAATGTCCTCAGGGGACAGGCTGTGCCACAGGCAGAGGCCAAGGGGGAGACATCACCCTTTCCTTTCTAGTTACCTGGGCCCTAGTTAGAACTCATTTTTCTTGACAAATCAGAGCTTTGGTAGGCTCTGTGGAGATAAGAACGAAGCAAGAAACAGGCGGTGCTGGGAATGAGACTGGTGTAGGCCTTCACGAGTCCCTGTGACCACTCCGCTTCCCAGACCAAGAGCTGGGCTCCTGCAGCTTTGGGCCCAGGTGGGCCACTAACCTCCAGGCCACCCCAGAGGACAGAGCTGAAGCCAAGTCCTCAGGGATGCTACCCAAGGAGATATGGGTTCTCCAATGACAGAGTGGCCCCGAGTCTCAGATCCAGTGGCTTGGGGCTGGAATCCCCTTTGCCTGCAGCGCTCATCACATATCAGGCCAAGCTCCAAGTATTTTTAGATCAGAATTTTCACAAAAGCTTGCTCTTCTTTGCTCAGAAACATTAAAATGTATTCTTTTTGCCAAATATTTTCTAGGTTTTCCTTCTGAATTGTTGAGAGTGGGTTTCAGTGTTCACTTTTCCCCCCTAAAATATGTAACTTCAGACCCTGGGAGAGGCAGTATCCTAGCTATTTATAACAATTAGGCCTTTTCTAAAGATTGATCTAAAAGAGAAAGACACAAAAATGGAGACTCAACAAAGCCCTCCAGAGTGGACGGGCTCACTGACCAAGAGCAAAGATGGACCCTTGCAGAAAGCAGAGCAAGAGCAGGAATCCAACACAGCAGGGGCATGGGCACAGGCCTGGTAATGCTGTGCTTGTCCACACACCAGCAGCTGGCACTTGGGGACTGACACCCATTCGGCTTTCCACACAGCTTGCTTCCTGAGGTCTGGGCCACTGGTCCTAGACTTTGTGCGTGAAACTCACATCAGGAAGCAATTCAGGGCAATGACACCAGCTAGGAATGGATGTACAAAGGTCTCCAAGAACCAGTACCTGTGACCTCCCCTGACCACGTCAGTCCAGAGAGCCGGTGGGAATGCTCCCCAAGATCCAGGCAGCCCCCTGGTGGGTTTAGTTCATAACCTTTGCTCCCTCCTGGGTTCAATCTGCTTATTAAGAGTTACTTAAAATCCAGAGGGCCTGTCAGCTAAGAAACTCCTTTCCCACCAAACATGGAAGCTTGTTTCTGGCTAGTACCCTTTCACGATGGCTGTCACGACAATGACAAGCTGGGCAGAGGAGCAGGCAACAACTTGGGGCTGTTGCAGGTCTCGCTGCCACTATTTTTGGCTCTAGCCTGAAATGATGCCACTGAAGACTGTTGCCCACACTTGCATGGGGTCTCAGTAGAAGCCAGGTGCTGGCTGTGGCCAGTGTCCCAGGCCACCACCATGACTTTCACCTTCCAGGGAGCTGAGGGGCTGGGGTCCTTGGCTACTTTGGCACTGATGGACTGGGGACATGACATTTTTATGTGTCTTCTATGCCAACAGAAGGGCACTGCACTAGAGCCTGGTTGTGGCCCAGTTCCCCAGTTCACTTAAGTGTCAAAGCCAGCAATTCCACCGGTAAGGACAAGCTCACCAATGGGCAGACAAGTAGGGCAGGGCTGGGCCGGGCATTGTGGGAGGAGCTCAAGGACACACAGAATTCTGTCAAGAAAGGAGGTAGTAACTAACAACTAGAATGACGGTTGGGGAGACGGAACATGATTCTCTGTGACCTAGACCCATGGGGATCTGAAAATTGTCGGTCAATTCCTGTATTCTTCACAGTCCCTAAAAGATGCACCCTGCCCCCCCGAATCTTCGTGGTGTTCAAGTACACACAAAATCAAGGTCACACCCCAAACTGGGCTGGACACCGCTGGTGAGAATTCCACGGCTTAGGTTTTCCCTCCAAACTTCCACCCACCTGACTCTAGGAACAGGGGCGGCACGGCACGGGCCTCTGCCTGTCAGGGTGGCAAACCACCAAGGTGGCCTGTTTAAAGGTCACTCACTCATGATGCCCTTATTTGGGGAAGAAGAGGAAATATGGAAGGGGGGAAAGAAAACCATAAGGAGCCTCAGGCACTGCCTGAAGCTCTGGAACTCTAGGGGAAGGAGCTGGGGAGTGAGGGGGCTGCAGGTCCGGCCGGACAGAAATAAAATGACCCTTGAAATGCTGTGTTCTTGACCATCAATGCCCAGTCAGCCCCTGAATAACTGCCATGGGTGAAAGGGGGGCCTGGTGAGCCCCACACTCCTCTTCCCAGGACCAGAACTGGGCTGGACACCGCTGGTGAGAATTCCAGGGCTTAGGTTTTCCCTCCAAACTTGGGGGGGGGGGCCAGCCAGCTCCTGACATTGGTCCCAGGAGTCACATTTCACTGGACTAGGTATATAACACATAAAAACCTGACCGACCAGAATGGACAGCGTCTCCATGACAAACTGGCTGAATGCCGCGCTCGCACGGATAGGTGTCTTTTGGGGATGCCAGGAGTGCAAGGCCACTGTGGGGTCAGGAGCCTTTTGTCCTTGGAGGAAGAGGGGTCCCGAAGGACTCACTCCCTCCTCCGACCCCTCTTCCCTCCTGGGGAGGAGTCAGAAGTGAAGCCCGGGTAATCGACAGCAGAGTGGGGTTGCTTGTGGGACTTGCTTTTGCAGCATAAGGAAATGGATACAAAAATGCTAGAAAGGCCAACTATGACTCTACGAACAGAATGGGCAAACTCCCTTGCTTCTAACCATTCCGGAAGAGACAGACATGGTTTTTTCTTAAGCTACTGATCGGAACTGTCAACTATGGTTCCTGATCACTAAGGACTGGCAAGGAAGTGCTAGACAGTTTCTAGGATGTTTCACTCCTTCATGGTTACACCAAAGTAAGGAAGCCAGGGGACAATAACTGAAATACACGAGACAACACGCACTTGACAGTTCATGGCAGCAGCTCACATGGGACGTGCTTGTGGGTATTTCTGGAAGCATAAGACTGCTGTCTCATTTGCTACTTTGATAAGGTACTTCTCAGTTGGACAGATTTAGATATAAGAGACATCTCTGTAAACACAGAAAAGGATATACCAATATGATGAAGATATGCAGCTAGATAAGGACTTCCTGAACAGAGAGGTTGAAAGGATGGGATCCCACAGCAAACCCAAGCCTCTAAGCCCCTACACCAGAACCCTGGCGTAGACGTGAAAATGTGTGCTACACTGGCCCCACCCAGTCTCCAGTAAGCAAAAGCCAAATGTTTTCCACTTGAAGAGAACTTGTGGTTAACAGAGGAGCCTGGGTGGGCAGGGGGAAGGGGGGCGCCCTAGGCACTGGTCCCAGCTCAGGTCTGGGGGCATCTGCATTTGTTCTGCCTGCTGCCCTGCCACATTGCACTGCGCTAGCCAGGCCTGGCAGAGGCCAAGGTCATGGCTGGGCCGCGTGATGACTGTGGCAGACCACGGGGGGCCTCTGTTCTGCCCTCAGCTCCCAAATTCAAATCTGGCCTGATTCCTCCCACCCACTTCTCTCAAGTGGAAGGTTGAGAAGGCTCAGTGTCTTGATTCTGACTTAGGAGAGCAAGACCTTGCTGTTCTCTTGCCCTTCAGAGAGACTGAGGTGCTAGGGTCAGGTAGGCTCAGCAGAGCCTGGGGCTTTCTCAGGGCTCAGGATGGAGGCTGGGCTGGGGTTGGTGGCGGGAAGGCCAAGGGTGGGGTGAGTTCTGGGGGCATGAACTAAGCAGAATCAATTCGGGGTACAGCTGGGCACTGGGGCTGCTTGGAACAGAAGGGATGAATGAGGAGGAAGGAAGGGAAGAAATGAAAGGATGAAATGACAGAAGGCAGAAATGGGAGAGAAGAGAAAGCAGTCAGGAAGTCCTTATAAAATTGCAGCAAACACTTAGAGTTTCGGAGCTTCGTGGGAACCCTATGTGCTGAGCCCACTTTAAAACAAGCGCAGGTATCTACAGATCCAGGCAGTTCTAAACACCATCGCGTCTGGTGACTTGAGGGACAAAGTGCCACCAATTCAAGCCAGTTTGCTCTCAGAGCGTGTTTGTTTTGAAGTGGGAACATGAAGACTCAATAGTGCAAATAGTTCTAAGCTGTCCCTAAGGAGTAGAATTGGAAAGTTTTGGAAGAACATTCTCCCCTCCTTCCCCTTGGCCCCCACCCCACTGAGCCTATAACTGCCAGTCACAGATTGCTCTGAGCGACTAAGGAGTCCCTCCTGCCCCGCTGTGCTCTGCTGGCCCGGAGCTGGGCCAACCTGCCTACACCTTGTCCTGCTGCCTCCATGGCCTCTCTCTAGTGCCATCCACTGGAGGCCGGCCCTGGGCCAGCCTCTCCTCTGGCTCAGGCAAGTCTACACCTAGCAGCTCGAAGGATGACTCCCTCTGAGCCATGCCAGACTGGAGCGAACAGGTGCTACTTTCCTGTCCTGTGAAATGTCCTTGTCAGTTTTGGATTGGGCTGGAGTGGGGCCAGATTTGTGCCACCACGAGTGGGATCACATGGGCTGTAGCCACTGGCCATCTCCAACTTCTTCTCTAAGAATACAACTGTCTCTCCTGCCTCACACCTCCTTGGCCCAACTTGGGTGAGAGTGGGGGAGCTGGGGAAGCTGGGGCAGGGTGGGGGGAGAGGAGAGCTGAGACTGGGGCACCAATGGCACCGAAAATGGAGTGTCCTCTTAAGTGCTCTCTGTCCTTAGCGACCACACGAGGGGAGGTCTGGGTGGGAGGGGAGGTGCAGGCATACCCTAAGAAGCCTGGTCAACAGCTTGTCTGGTCAGTAGTATCTGCAGCAAGCCTTGTTGAAGGAGCCTAGATTAGAAAAGTGCAAAGCTACTTCTGGCCCTGGTTAGGTCTTCAACCTGACTGTGCTTGTCGGTAAGAAAAACATCCCCAATGCTCCAACTACTCCCACCCTGAAGCCACGAAACTCTAAGTTTACTGAAAGAAAAAAAAATATTTTTTATTTCAGTTAATCGGGAAGCTTTGTCAGAGCCCTACCCATAAGGAGAAGAGACAACAGCTGCCTTTATTCTTGTTGGTTTGCTTTGCAATCCACTCTGTGTAAAGTCAGCTAACTCTCTCGGTCACGGGCGTCCGGCTGTCCACAGGCTCCTCTCTGTTTGGCCTTGGCATGGAGGATGAAACAATGTCTTTGCGCTCTCCCTCCCCTCGGTGTTTGTACTTTTCTGCGGCCGTGGTGGTGGTGGTGGTTGCGACCGTGGGCTGAGTCTTAGCTGGCTCCTTGGGGCAGCCGTCGCTCTCCAGCGAGCCTCCTCTCGGCATCTTCTCCTCTTTGCAGACGCTGCTGCTCAAGTCCTGGGGCTCAGGGGGG